TCCCTTCAGTTGTCACCCTCAGACTTAACAATATTTGGAGTCTTTGAGCATTAATGGCTGGAATCATGTGAATCTGATGTGCCTTTTCTTTAAAAGCAGCTAGTTCTCATATTAGTGCGTTCAAACCCATATTTTGAATTTGGAAGGCTAAAATCTGATATCTGAAGTTCAGTACTAGCCTCTTGAAATTAAGCATGTAATGCAATGTGTACCTACCATTATTTGCTAAATTTCATTATATTCCTCATTTCATTTGAGTCTGATAGTGTGACTGCAAGTGGTTTGCAAGTAAGGAGTCCCATTACACTGCTGTTAGGTTGAAATAGCATGTTTCCCTGTGCCCTGACTGTTGTGTGGGAAAGGGTTATATACAGCTGCTTTTGTATTTTGTAGAGTTAAGCTGTATCAGAAGCTTCTTCGAGACTCTCTGATTCACAAACCACCGATGTTTGGCTGAGCTTCTGTGTAGCTTGTCCTTCAAAGAAGCTACTGCCCTCTTTCCTCCTAAGTTTTAGAAGAGGTGTAAGAAATACAGTTTTGCTGAACTTTCATTCCAGCAACAAAAGTGTGAGATCTTACCACAGATAATTTTTTTAGGTAAGAATATTTGTGTGAGCTAAAACGCCAGGGTCTTTTTAAACCAGTGTTAAATTTGCCATGTGGAGTTGTAGTAAACACAAAAGTGAACAACTTAAAGCAGTTACTTTCAGACTCCTGCGACCAGATGAACTGACTGTTGGTGTCCTGTTTCATGACAAAAAGCTAGCAGTAGGAATAATGGGTAGCTGTTTCACTGCAACCTGATGATACAGAGTTTGAAAAGGTCTGAACAGTGCTCCATTTATCTATGAGTTCTCTTTATGAAACGCAGTGTCCTTTTGCTTTCATTGTTGTAGCCTGATCAGATCTCTGCTCCAATTGTTTGTACACTTATGCAATGGCTGTTGTTGTAGTAGTAGAATAATGCTTTGAGATGATGTGTGCACTGTAACCTTACTGTACCAGTGCTGAAATGTTCCAGGGACAAAATAAAATCCAGTATTCTCTTTGGGAGAGGTGCACTTCCTATCCTGTAGGATATTCTTCCCAAACAGAATTGATTTGTGCTAGTAAGAGCTTGAGAACAAGTATTTTTCTTTCAGTTGCACTGGCAATTAGGAAATAATGTACATGGTTTTGTGTCTATTCAGAAAAGGCATTGTTGAAGAGCTCTGGAAGAAAAAAAAAAGGCCATTAGGCTGGTTGTTTGCATTATCAGCCTGAAAGACTGGAAGAATTGGATTACTTAATGTGACACTAAGGAGCACTGAACTCTGGGTGGTGCTTGCCTTAGAGACAATTCAGGACTCTGCATGCAAATATTATCTGCTGGCCAACTACAATCTGAGATCACCTAGAGTCTTCAAAGTGTCTATAGGAAAATCTTAGTTCAGTTGTTCACTGTATGATTTGCCTGCTGTGCTCGATAGAAGTACGCTGAAAATTGGAGCCAAACCCAGAACTCACATCTCTGATAAGTGAGATCTAAGCACTTGCCAGGTGGCAGTTTGGGGTGGGAGGCCTAGTGGGTTTTGCGTGTGTGCTAAAGTCGGGTTTGATTCTTGATCTTGCAGCTCACACGTGCTGTGTCCTCTGTGTGTGTGTGTTTTCACCCAGCCCAAGCTAAAATTCAGTCCTTGCAGTTAAGATGGGTGAGTGACCCTGCAAGCCCATTTGACTGGAATGGTGCTGGGGGAATAGATATATTAGATGCACTTAACTAGCATGACAGCCGTGGATCAAATCGGTAGGCTACATTAAGTGAAAATGAAAGCCAGAGCTAGCTATTGGCACATTTCAGTATCTGTGTCAATACTGTTATGGATTCCTTGTTCCATATATATGTCAATACTTCTATGGGTTGCTTGCTTTATTTTGTTCGCATTTCTGGAGCAATTCATGGCATGGCACAGTTTAACCCTAACCAAAATAAAAATCCAGGCCAGTCATTCTCTTTTCCCTTGTATTCTCTTGCCAATGAATTCAAGTATGATAGTACTACATGAATGGTTTGTTATTGTGCAGTCAGAAAGGTAAAATGGTTTGAGATAACTGATATCACTTTATAATTAAGTTATTCAACTAGGTGCTTTAGTGCCTTCTCTTCCAAGCTGGTCACTACTGTTCTGATTTGAACGTAACTGGATGAGAAGTGCTGCTCACACTACTGGGAATATATGTGAAGCTAATGTAGAAATCTTATTCAGCACTTTTTCCTTAAGCACGCTAGCAACTTGTGATTATAAAAAAAAATCTGAAAAATGGAGTGATATTGGGTTTATTTGAGTGTTCTATAAGGTCATCTGGCTCCCTTAGGAGTTCAGATAAAAGCAACGAGATAGAAAGATCAAAGTTGGAAAAACTCAAAGCAGCATTGTTTCCAACATTAAGTCAGGTTGGCTGCAGCTCTGTCTAGTTGAATCTTGAAAATCTCCAAGGATGGAGATTGCGTAGCCTCTGACCGACCTCTTCGAGAGCTGCTCTGTTCTCCTGACACACGGGCTCCTGGCATAAGGGACAGGTTGTTTTGGATCTCTGGCTTGCACCCGTCTGCAATTTCTAGCTTCCAGTGTAGTCATCTGATCAACTCCCTTCCCCCCAGCTGCAGTGCCTGGGCTAAAGCAGTCCGAAACATTTGATTTTTATCATTGGTGTGTTAAGCCTTGTTTGCCTTGATTGTGGAGAGGGGCCAGCATGCATTTTATTTTGCAAAATGATATGCACCAAGCGCAAATTTCGGAGCAACTGAATTATCTTGACTTCAGCACAAAAGAGAATAGTTGGATTGAAAATTAAAATGCACAGTCCTGTTCTAAGGTAGTATAAAATGTCAATCTGATTACTCTTGAGAGTTCAAGAGCCCTCCTTGCCTAATTGTAAAATATTAATACTTTTGGCCTGTTTAGTCTAGAAATAGTCAATACAGGGAAGTGTTCTGTTGCTCTGTACCTTATTTTGAAATCCTTCTGTATCATTGCATTCTATCTCCTGCTGTTAGTCTAATGCAAAAGATAGGAAGCAGCATCTTGACATAGTCATAAGAACATGAAATTGCTAAATATTGGAGCATTTCCTAGACTCAGGCACCTTTTCTGGGATTATGTTCTTTGATATGAGAAGGTAGTTGATACCACCTCTAAAATCTTGCCCAGATTGGAGCTGTCAATCATTACAGGGAGAACACTGAATGCAAAGGAGTAACTCTTGTACTCGTCCTTTGCCTTGATTGTTGCTCAAGGACAAAAGGTGGATGCACCGCACCGTCACCAGGCTAAAGGTTTGGATTTAAAAGGAGAAAAGGAAATGCTGAGGCTGAGGAAGCTTTGTGCCTGCTGTGTCCCAGTGCTGCGGGTGTCCTCCCCGGCGTGTCCAGCAACCAGCAGAGCTGCTGTGGGAGACGGAGGTGAAGGGGGGGGCATGTCCCAGACTGCCAGTGAAATGAGCTGCTCTGCATGGGCTCGGATGAACCCAGTTCCTGAGGGTGCAGGGTAGCTCCACGCTGCTTTTTGGGAACTTTTCCCAAGTAAGCTTTGTGACAGTTAAAATTGATTTGTGCATCACGTGCCCAGACAGTTTAGCCTTGTTAAACAGTAATGTTTCACATGTGAAACTTGTGTAGCTGCTGAAAAAGGTTTTCAAAATGAACTGATGAGTTCAGAAGACAGGGCCTGACTGTAAGGAAGAAGCAGTTTTTTGTAGACTCTCCAGGAGGTGAGCCGGGATGCCAAGACTTACTAGTGGAGTCTAGTTTACGTGTCCGTAGTCTCAGGAGGTCAGCTACATCCACACTGTGCAGTGTGTGGTGCACGTTTGCCTTGTGCCCCGGGCTCCAAGACACGCAGAAGCACAACAAAATTCCAGCAAGTTCAAAGCTTCTGAAAGAAGAGCTGCAATTACTACTTTTCATTTTAATGTGATAATGGTGGCACATGCTTTGTCTGGGTGAACGACAGAGGAAAGTGCGAAGCCCCTTGAGAGAGACTTGGAGCGCTGTCTGGCACAGCGGAGCAGAGCCTGCCGCAGTGTTACATGCTTCGACCAGGCTTGGGAGCAAATTACCCCATTGGCTTCGCTTGGATTTTCTTGCACTGCTGCCAGTTTTTCCTTGCAGAGTGAGCTGCTCTTTTTGCTTCGTCGCTGGTGAGAGTCCTGGCGCTGGGAGTGAAACAAGAAGCTACACAAACATAGCTGCTGTTTTGGTATAAAGGGTCTATATTTAAAGCATAAGCCCAACGTTGCTGTAATGATTATTTGAGTAGTGGAGCTGCCGTGTTTTAACCCTGGGTTATATTGCTCAGCATCATTTGGATGCTGCTTTGTTTCATTAACTCTTGTAATGTTTACCTTCTATTTAATGTAGGTCCCTTTTCATAAGGGCTACCCTTGGATGGGGTTGATGTAGTACCGAGCACAGTGGGAATCAGATTGCTGATTGGGACTTGTAGATACAGCGATTAAAAAAAAATGTAACTTAGAGCAACGTGTTGTGATATTTTTCTTTGCTGCTGCTTCAGTTTAGAGAATTGATATCTGGAAACTTTATCAGGCTCCATGACCTACACTTGGATACTTAGTCCTCTCTTTGTTGACCTATTCTGTATGAGAGCCAGCCTCTGCGTCCCTTTTGCCCTTGTTTTCTTTACACTAAAATGAGAGGATGATATTATATTCTAGGTGTTTCTGAAGGCTCTGTTTAAATGCTCTACTTAAATATCATGGAATTATTTCAGTGTTGTCTGTTTCGTGTATCTTTAACGTAAAGGCATTGGTATAGGTGGTGAAGAGAGACATTTTCAGCTTCTCTTGATCTGCAAACTTTGTGTGTGCCTAGCCCCTAAAAAAAAATACCAAAGTTTTTAACGTGTAGCTGAGCTGAGGACGCTTGTGCAATGATGAATATCACATTCCTGACAGTGTATAAAGTTAAAGAATTAATTACAACTGTTACTTTGTCTTTTCAGTACATCAACTTTGGTAACCTGGAACAGCTGTTAGACAGTAACCAGCATCTGCCCTGGACAGTGAGGGTGAAACTGGCCTATGACATTGCTATGGGAATCAGTTATCTTCACTATAAAGGCATTTTCCACCGAGACCTTACATCCAAGGTACCGTTTAAAAACTTAAGGGAACTTTTTAATGAAGGTACTATATATAACAGGTTGTTTGGTTTCTCCTCTTTCCAGCAGAGGACTGCTATTGTATAAGGTATAATCAAAGACATTTTGAGGAACAAATTGAAATACAGTTTATAGAATTATAGAATTAAAACTTTCCTCAAAACATGTTGATAGTTTGTATGGGAACTGGAGAAATAACTATCCTGAAGGAAGGTCACTCCTTAAATGAGTTCAGATTAGGATTTCTCAGAAAGCAGCTGCAGAGTTTCTTAATTCTGAATTACGGTTCAGTAAAGTATTTAAATCCCCGGATAATTAAGCATAACAATCTAACATTTGGAACAGGTCAATCATATAAAGAACCCAAATTGAAGAGATTATTACAAATGCACTTTAAAATCTCCTTATTGTTTTTGTTTCCCCACGTATTTC